AAGTTTCTGATATCTGTGAATGATTTGTTATATAGAAAAATCTTTTTGATATATGAAAATGATCTGTTACACTAAAAGATTTCTAATATTTGTAAATGATTTGGTATACGATAAGATTTTCGAAAAATGTAAGAAAAATGGCAAAAATATTTTGATCTTAAATGTTAATACATATCTTTTGTTCTCGTAAATATATATTATTATTCACTAAGTGTATAGACTCATCCCTATTTTTTTTTAGATTCAGAGTTCGATATTCAGTGGGATTCTGCTGCTTAAGAGAAATCTTTTATTTCCATTGTTTCTGTTATATGTTGAAAAAGTTAGTTATTTCAGTTCTGTTAGATTTGTATTTTTAGATTCATGATAGCTCCATTTGACTATAAATAGATTCTTGTGGATACATTGACAATTTGGTCGAGATTTTGAAGTCGATTTTGTTTCAGATTTCATATAAATTTTTGGTTTAGATATATGTTCAGTTATAAGTTATGCTTGCGGGGTTGAAATTTATTCTAACTTTTACGTCAGTTACATCGTTTTTTTTTCAAGTTGTGACACAAATAGACATATATGTGTGAGAGAAAATCTTATTTCATGAGTTAGTTTTTGAGGTTGATAATACCTAAGATCACCTATTAGTGGTATCAAACTTGGACCAAATATCTCAATGTGTCTAGTTCTCTCCCACATGATGTGTGGAGGGTCTCATATCCACTACAAAAAGAATAGTAGTTAATGTATAGATGTGAAAGAAAATTTCAAGAAAATTCATATTAATAATAATATTTATGTATCAAAATAGGTTTTTAAAAAATTATTTATTAAAATGTATTAAATTTGGTTGTATTGAACAATTGGGTTACCAGGAGTCAATTTTTGAGAAGAAATCAAATCTTCATGACCTAATTTTAGTACAAAAATTAGGCACAAGGGACCTGATGTTGGAACTCTCCCATCCACAGAGGGCTCCTGTTGGTGGATGGACGCGTGGTGTCACTTCCGAAAATCAAGCCAATAGGGCTCCTGTTGGTGGATGGAAGCGTGGTGTCACTTCCGAAAATCAAGCCAATAGGACTGGATTTCTTGGAAACAATGAGATCCAAATACCTGATTTTTTCTACAAAAATTGGGTCTTCAGAACTCTATTTTTCTCAGAAATGGAGTCCCTAAAATCCCATTAACCAACTCCACCAAATTTAACAAATTTTAATTAATAATATTCTAAAAACTTATTTTAATAAAAAAATCCATCATTATTAATACAAATCTATCCAACATTTCACCTTACAAACTAGTTCTTATATTGAAAAGGTACAAAAATACCGACTAATGTACACATCCATCAAATCCATAACATGTAAAAAAGGGAGATCCGTGTACTGGATGTAAAGGAAAAAGGAGACTCGGCTATCATTGGTGGCAAAAGTTGAGTTGCACAATGGGTATCAATGTGACCGTGCATACCGCCCAAGGCCGTCTATTTACACATCCATCAAATCAGTAACATCTGAAAGGAAATGTAAAATAAATAGAAAACCATTCGCAAATTCTTACCTCCCTCCGATGGCACTTAATTAGTGGCTTCCTTTCACTAAGGTGCTAATCACTTCACTTTTGACGCCAAAAAGCCTTGGCGACTTTCTTAGCCGAAACATGGCCAAGGCCACCACGGCCAGTCACACTGATTAGCATGCCTGACATGGCACATAATCTTGGACACCGACCTCTGAATTTTCTGCATGTTGCCACTGGTCCGCGTGCCACATTGTACTGCCTGCATCAGTAGTCCCTTCGACTTTTATTTTGCGTTGGAAAGCAAAAGTATATACTCAAGTAGTCCCATCGAACTGACTCCCCAACAACTACTTCCTCGACCTCTTCTGCTAGCTAATCTTTATGAAAAAAAAAAGGATTTTTCACAGCCAAAAATATGTGGTTTATTTTCCATGACTAGAAGCAAATGTTTTCCACGCGTTTTTAGTTCAAAAATTCAAGAAGTAGTTGAGCTAAACCAACCCCTCATCTTTTAATTCAATCAAACCAAAGAAATAAGACATTTATTAAAAGGGGAAAATTAAGTTAGAAGTGATTTTCATCACCGAAGAGAAAATTTGGCTCATATCACAAAGCCAAAATTTCATTTGCGAAAGCACTATTCACATTGTCACGGGAAGAACATCAGAGGGCATTCTTACATAATTCCAGAACCTTTGAATCACGTTCTCCATGGTTAAGAGAGTTTTCTTTGACCTCGGGCAGGGAAGGCACACCTAGGCCCTGTAAATTTTAGTGTTTGGCATGCCACGGTGCACAGTGCACTCCATAGCATGGCCGGATAACTCTTGGCACTTTATAACGCGCCACAATAGAGTTACAGTAATTATTATTATTATTATTATTTTACAAACTCACAACAAAACCCAATCACATCCTAATTTAATTGAAATCTAATTAAATTCTATATAAATCTAAAATCAAAATAAATCTTGTCTAACTAAAATTTTCAAAACAATCCAAATTCTCCCAAAAAATTCCTCTCAAATCAATTTAAACATCTGCCAACATCTAAATTAGTAAAAATGATCTATAATTTTATTGAAATGTTAAATAACGTCTAGAAATGGATTAATAATGTCAATAATTAAAAAATTTAAATTTAATCAATAATAAGTAATAGAAAAAAATTAATTTATAAGTCAATTATAGCCAAGAGTGTTTTACAATTTGAAATCAGAAAAACCTATTTAAATTCTAACAAATAATAAAGATTAACTCAAGTTTTTATGCACCAATTTATCATGGACCATTAGAAAGTTTTCAACTCTTTACTCCAGAACAGTTGTTATCAGTTGTTAAATAGTTGATTCTTGTCATAAGTGAAAATCTCAAATCTTAGGATGATCGTCGAATGCTTTCAAGAAGTTTTTGATAAGTCTTCAATGACACCGTTTTTTTTTTATAATTTGGGTGAATTGGATGCTTTGGAGGATACTCCAAGCTTTGCTTTTATAATTCAAACTGTTCTAGGAGGTGTAGAAGTTCTTGAAAGTTTTAGAAACCCTCAAAATTTTGAAAAATTATGAAAAATCTTGTCATGGTGTGTCGTGATGGGCTCTAGTGTAATAGTGTACAATAATGCAATAATTTTAATGAACAGTGTACTATGGCAAGCTATAGTGTGTACGTTACGGCCTCAGTTATAGTAACTGTTATAATATTCTTTTTTTAAATGTTTAAAATTTTTTTACATCCAAACTTTTAAATAGATATTTCTTAACTCTAAACCAATCAAAAATCTCCCTAAATCAAAAAACCACGTGATTTAAATGTCCAGCTATTTCACTCTGGCTATTTCCAGTGAATCAAATGCAGGGAGAAAATCTTATGAAAGTTCACATATTTTAAGGTTAAATATATATATATATATATATTGATCTAATATATTATGGATGACAATATATTTAGGTTATTTAACCTGTATGTATAACTCCATATAATATTAAGTTCCACTTACTGAAACATGCAGATTTACTGTCCGCTTACCCCTATTTCGTGTTTTGCGATGAATTTTTGTGTTGTAAAAATATTTTTTATTGCCGCCTTTGGACCTTTAAAGACGCATGAGCGTCCAACATATCTCCTCCTCGTTCTCTCAGGATTCCAGGCGAGGAACCCTGTCTAACGCAAAAAAAAAAATATCCTCATGCGTCACAGTTGGACACCCTTGCCACAACCTCCTCCGCGACGTTGACACGGTTAGACATGGGTTGGAGCAGGGCACCTGCGCCCTACCCTGTTCCAATTCAGATCCTAAAACTTCTAATATTATATTATTTATTTTACATTTGCTATAATATTTATAAATTAATATAATTTACATATAAAACTCTTTACAATATCCGACGTAGAATTCATTTATGTTATTAACAAAGAGTCCAAAATGGAAAGTGGGTACCTTATGTTGTTCGATAAAGTTTAATTTATAACAGATTCAAAATTCTAGAAATCTCAGTCCCTCTCCCCGGAGGGATTATAAGTGTTACAAGCTGTAAAGATAAGGAGATTAAGAGAATTGTTTTTAAACTTAGACAAGTTTTGGCACAAAGAATTCCCAACTTTTTTCGCCTTATGTGTGAACGTTTAGAGAGGGTTTTACACTGGAGCTCATTGAGTGAATGTCATCAGATAACTAATTGGAGTGGAGGGTTCGGATTTAACTCGAAAGGCACGACATGTTAAACTTCCTGTAGGTTAGTTTGTGAGCTTGTTTCTGCTCAATTAAAAACGTTATTAAAATTTGAAACACGTCGTCTGTTGACATCAATAGAAAGGGTTTAGAACCTACGCTTTCCAACATATTGGGTATAGTGGAAATGGTTTTTTAGGTTTTAGGGTTGGATCTTTTAGGTTGGTGTGAGGTTTCTTTGTTTTATATAGCTTTGGGATAGGAATGATGTCTAAATTTTATGGTTTAGGGCATTATAATAATGGGAACTTTGCACTATTTTTAAGATTTACGTTCTGCAGGTCATCCCATCAACAACCAATGATTTTATCGTATCTGTTCTGAAATATGAATGAATATAGAGGTTTATTTGCAAGGAAGGAAAAAAAGAGCCAGAGAGGGAAAGGTTTCTCATCCTTCACGCACACACTAACACAAAAACAAACATACAAAAATGGAAACGCCAAAAAAGCTTAGACAGAGAAAGGGATTAATCGGTTGAAGTTGAACTAAGGAAAAGAGAAACAAAGAGGTTTAGCTCTCCTACAATCATTGTAAATTGCCCAAGTCAAATTGATAGATCAATTCCCAAAATTACCTTGCACGTTAATCTATAATCAAAATTGATAGCATATTCCTTAACATAAAACACCGCACTGCATTAAATGCTCTGTAGAAAGAGGGGAAACAAGATTCCAGTACTAGTAATCTCACAAGAGTAACAAAAGAAAAAATAGAACATAATTCATAAGCCCTAGTATGGCAAGGTTCCTCAGTGCTTCAATGTGTTCCCTATGTCTATGACAAAACGATATCTGACATCGGTCTTCATGAGCCGCTCCATTGCGGTGTTGACATAGTCCATTGGAATAAGCTCAATGTCTGCCGTTATGTTATGTTTGGCTGCAAAATCAATCATCTCTTGGGTTTCCTTTATGCCTCCAATGGCACTTCCAGCCACTAACTTCCTCCCTGTCATCCAAAAACTCCACGTCATTCACCATATATATGTATCTTACATAAAAACATTGAGAAATAGGCCACAACCTACAATCATCCACCTTTCAAGAAACAAAATCATTAGAGACAAATGATTACCTATAAGAAGGGGAAAGACAGGAAGCTCAAGTGGCTTCTCTGGCACACCGACCATGACGAGTTTTCCATGAGACTTCAACAGGCCAATCAATGGCAGCAAAGGATGAGTTGCAGATACAGTATCGATGATACCATCCATTGTACCCATAGCAACCTATTTATACCCATCAAAGCCAAAACAACAAAATAGATGAGAAACGAAATCTATTTATATGGTGTAGATGAAGAAATAACCTTGTGGCAAATGGTTACCTGCATCTGATCTGGATCGCTGCTGACCAAAAACGAATCAGCACCGAGACGATCAATGGCTTCTATCTTCTTGTCAGGGGAGGTGCTGATCACAGTGACTTTAACTCCAAAAGCCTTTGCGAATTTTACAGCTACGTGACCAAGGCCACCAAGGCCAACAACACCCACGTGCATGCCAGGCTTGTCAAGGCCAAAGTATCTTAGGGGGCTGTAAGTTGTGATCCCAGCACACAGTAGAGGAGCACAAGCGTCAAGGGCGAGGTTCTCTGGGATGCTTATCACAAAGCTCTCATCACAGACCATGATATTGGAGTAACCTCCGTATGTAGGGGTTCCATCATGGTAGATGCCATTGTAGGTTAATATCATCTTAGGGCAGTAATTTTCGAGATCATTAGCGCAATTTTCACAAGAGTGACATGACCCAACCAAGCACCCTACTCCGACTTTGTCTCCAACTTTGAATTTAAGAACCTTCCCACCAACTTCCGTCACCACTCCCACAATCTCGTGCCTACAAGTAGAAGTTCATTGAATTAACGTTCTGTCATAATCAACTTTGATGGCATTTTTTCGTCATGAAAAAGACGTTGCAAAGCAAAATAATAGAAAGTCATTTTCCATTCCTATTTTTACTCCAGTAAAAACCCAAAATCAAACCAATTTTGCAGCTTCAAATGTAGTAAAAGAACATGAAGTTGACTTAGTTTTTACCAACAAAGGTAAAAACGCATGCAAAGACAAAAGGAATTGAAGAAAGTAGGGAAAGGGTAAAGTAAAAAAAAGAATACCCAGGGATGACAGGATAGATGGTGTTGCCCCATTCATTCTTGATTTGGTGAAGATCAGTGTGACAGATTCCACAATACAAAACTTTAAATGTTACGTCCTTCTCTCCAGTTGCCCTGCAGCAATGCAAGAATTACATAAGTAGAATATAATTACATTTAAACTGCGAATGTAAACATTTAACGACACGTTTAATTACCTTCTGGAAAAATTAATGGGGGCCAGAACACCAGATGAGTCTTCCGCTGCCCATCCGACAACGTTAACTGGATGCTGCTCCTCCGGTGATTTCGCCATCGGAGACGTGAAATAAGAATATGAACGTGACGCAGATTGGGGAGAGAGAGAGAGAAGCCAAAGACCAGGGCGAATGGAGGGACAATAGGTGTCCCAATTTATATAAGCAGAGGATGGCAGTTTCTGAAGTTATCGATGACGTAGGTCACGTCATTGATGAGGTCTCCTGACACGTGTGGGGCAAAGGCAGCGCTTGTATGTTTAAATTTTCGTTACTTGGGACCAGCCCCACGGTGAGCAGCTATTTGATCCCCAAGTAGACACCTTTTTTTTTCTATTTTAATTTTTAAACTACAAAGTTTCTCAATTTGTTCCCAAAAATTTAAAAGAGCTTAAGTGAATTAGTCATTCCATTAAATTTCTATAATTTAATGGCCAACATGTTAAAGCAATTGGATCTTTTTCCCCTTTTAGAAAAACCCATTTTCGATTTAGTAAAATTTTAAATAATTGAATTTCTATAATTTAGTGACTACTTTGTTATAAAAGCATTCAACAAATTAAATCAAATTATTTAAATTGATAAAATTATTAATGGGTTTGGTTTGGAAATAATTTTTTTTATATAATTTAGTTTAATATTTGATATTTAAACAAACCAAAGTAAACCAAACTAAGTTATGTAATTTATATATATACAAAATCAAAGATTTTACCCATTTGTACGTGTGTGTGTGTGTGTATATATATATATATATAAAACTTATTTTTATCATTTGATTGCATGTTTCCTATTTTTATTATCTTTCATATTTATATCTATTTTAATAATTGGTTATTTTTCTTTCTTAGAGTATGATTTCTGTTAGTGTGAGTTACATTTTATTATATTGTATAAATATATTTGTTATATAATGTATAATAACTATAATTAATTAATAGATAATGAATTTGTTGAGTTAAACAAAATAAAAAAAATGAATGTCTAATTTTTATAAAAATTCTGTCTAAAATTTTATAAAAATAGTAAATTTAATCCATTCTATTTTGTGAATTACAAACCATTGTTCGAAAGTAAATGTCACGACTTGAAATTGGATATGTGACCAGCATAAATGTCAGAATAAATCCCAATCCCGCAAGCTTTACAAAAAAATATGGAATTTAACTAAACTGATAATCTGATATAAAACAAAAGGTAAACCAAGCCATAATAACTGAATTGTCAACATAAAACACATAAAACCTGTATGTAATCAAATAGAGCATACTAAAATCCCAAGAATACAAAGTCTAATAGAAACTGAATAACTAACTTTGAAATCCAAACTAAATCAGCTAAGAATACAGACTCCTCTCAGATAATAGGATCCGTCAGACCAGCGAAATCAAAATTTGGAAAAAAGTAAGGGATGAGTCAACAGACCCAGTGAATAATAATATGTATTTATGAAAACAAAGGACGTGTATAACACATAAAATTAGAAATTTTTATCTTGTATCAAAACCAGAAAATTTCTAGTATAACAAACCTTTTTCATATAACAGAAATTTTAGCATATAACAAAATCATTTACAGTTATCAGAAAACTTTACAATATAACAAAATCATTCTCATTTATCAGAAACTTTAAGGAGCTTGTGATTTAGAATAAAACATGTAAGGCGACCTCATAGTCAGCCAATAACAGAAATTGAAATGTGGCATCCTCGTGTGCCCACGTAATCATGTAATCCACAACGGAACATATAAAGTGATCTCATAGTCAGCCAATAACAGAATCGAAAGATGGCATCCTAGTATGCCCATATAATTATGTAATCTGGAATGGAACATATAAGGCGACTCTCAGTCTACCAGAAAATAGGATGACAACTCACAGTCTGCCCATATAACAGAACGGCAACATTCAGTCTGTCCATATAATAGAACAGCAACATATCAGTTATATCGGATAACAGAGCGGCAACATATTAGTCTTGCCGATAAATAGAAACCAGAAAGTCTAGCGCCATAACCCCTGCTAAATGCGGGCTCTATATAGAGTACATTTAGTCTAACACATACTACCATTAGCTACAATGTTATAGAATTCGAAACTCCCTTAAAAATAGTTTTCCAGAAATATCCGAACAATTTAACAGAACTTTTCCCCTTTTTTTTTAGAATAAACAAAAACCATTTAATAAAATTTTACAGAATTAAACAAAAACAGTTTAACATAATTTTTCATGTACAGATTCAAACATAATTAACAGATATTCCTTTCCAACCAATTTTAGAAATTTCATACATGTCCCTTATTTCACTTTTAAAACAGAATTTAATCAAATTTTCAGAAAATAGACATATCATTTAAAATCAGAATTTATCACAATTAAGAAAAACAGTAAATGCTCATAAATGCACATTATTACTCACCAAAATGATGGAAACTAATAAGTTAAGTCTCTGGCAACACAGCTCAACAAGTATCGTACGGACAATCTAAAATCAATATATAATAAAATACCTCAATTTGTGCCTCTAATATATCCAAAAATCATATAAATGAATTTTCCTAATTAAGAAACTAAATAAAATTTAAGATTTTTGCACCCAAACCTATAACAAGGCCATTAGAGTCTTGAACTGGTCAAATAAATCATGAATTGAGTGCCAAAGTTATGAACCAATCTCATAAAACATAAAAACCAGTATATTAAATCTTAAAACTATCATTAAATGTACTGAATTGATCATGAACTAGCCATTAGAAGGCTGAGCCGGCCGTGAACCAATCATTAGAAGGCCAAACTGGCCATGAACCAGATTTTAAATCACTGAACCAGCCATAAATCAATCTCTATAACACTGAATCGGCCTTGAACCGTTTGAGAACCATTGAAATGACCTAAAAAGGGACTGAATCGGCCCTTTATATGTTGAACCGACCGGTTTTATGCATTTATTCCCTTGAACCCCGTCTAAAATAGTGATCTTTTCATGGAACCAAAATTAAACTAGTTAATTTAATTAATTATCTAATATATTTACCCCTGAACCGGAAGAAAACTAGTTGAAATCCATGTGAACTAGCCTTTTTTTCTCTATTTTTCTACTTATTTATTAATATTATTATTGTTTTATTTTTTGGGTTGGATTCTGACCAACAGACCAGCCTACTTTCTCTTCTTTTTTTTTTTATTTAATTTTTTAGGCCTAGCCCAAATGCCCCCAGGCCCAATTGCCCATTGTCCGTCCTAGAAACCTCAGCCCAAAATAGGGCCCAAACCCCTTCGCAAGACCCGAACCCCTTGTCGGGTCTTTTTTCATAACCTGACACACTACATAAAACCAAAAACAAGAATTGGTTGGAATACCTGGAGATCTGTTCGAGTTCTTGAAATTTGTCTTTGTGGTGGTCGTTGAGATAGCTAGGCGATGGTGATAAGCTGAGTGGATTGGGCAGCAAACACTGGATTCAATCTAGATTTTAGACAAGACCTGCCTGGTTACGGAAATTGAAAAACTGAGAGATTCTAGAATTTAAGAGGAAATTGGTAGAAATTGATTTGGGGCTTTGATCGAGAGACTTAAACACATGATTGTATGTGATTAATTGAGATTTTGATCAGAGAAATCTTCCCAATTTGGCCAAATTGCGATTCGGTTTATAGAGCAGGAAGTACAGTGATCAAAACTTGATTTTTTTTTCATGATTTGGTCCATGTTTCTTGGATTTTATTTGATTCAATCCCCATGACTTTCCATTATGGTCCCTAATGGTTCTAATTGTTTCAATCAAGTCCTTTGATTTTCTAATTAGCCCTTTAAAATTCTATCACCTTCCTTTAAGCCCCTTTTTGTTTTCTAGACTTCTAATAATACCCCAAATACAATTTTACCACTATAGAAAAATTCGGTCCATGAATTTTTTAACAAAAAAGAATAGTAGCTAGTCTCATGTCTCTAACCACTCTATCAGGAGTCTGTAACGCCTTTCATATAGAGTTTCCAAAAGGACTATCTAGATATCTATATGATAGCTGATCTTTTAAGCCATTACAAATGACAAATACTGACTCTAGTTACCCCTAAGTTCCATCACCCAAATCCTCATCATGTTTGTGTATTTTCTGATATTCAGTTTAAATCAAACAGAACTTATACCTTTAACTAGCCTAGATAGGTCTCCTGGCAAAGGTAGCCACAAAAAGGTCTCCTCAATAAAACCAAATATTGTATCACATTTCATAGTGCGCAAATATATGAAAGTAAGTGGATATGGATTCGCATAATAATTTATAAAAGGGTACTTGATTGGACGTACCTGTCACTCTAGTATTAGATGCTTGAGCATTTTGACTATTCAAAGCATATGTTCGTGCCTGAGCTCTCCTAGTCTAGCCATGTCCTCTATCTCTAGAGCTCTGCCTTGGTGCTCGAATTGGTTGATCAAGAATCGACGGTGCTGCTCAATCTAGCTGTACTATCTTCTGATCGTCATCTTTATGTATTAGCAGACAGTTCCTAAGTTTATGTCCAAATTTACTTCATCGGTAACAGGCACCGATCTCTATACGACATTGTCCCCAATGACCCTTCCCACATGTACGACAAGTTTCGGCATCCTAACGTTGTGGTGCAGATCTGTACTAACCTAACTGCATCACACTCCCCTTTATTGTAATCGGAGCTGAGATAGCTGCAGACAATAATTTAGAATGTGCAGGTTCGGGTTGCTAGTTATGCTGAGAACTTAAAACCCTGATTCTTTACACAAACATTGACCACCACCGTATGATCCTAAGGTCCTGATCTTTTTACTTGTTTCCTTAAATGTATTTTGCTCCAAATCTCTAGCCTTGATCGCTTAGGCTGCATCCACTACCTCAGCATACATGTATTTCCTTATCTGTGAAGCCAATGTTTGAAGTAGGGGTGCCACCAATCCTTTAATGAACCTTTTGGCCTTTATATTCTCATATGCTACCAAATGTAGAGCATACCAGGACAGATGATTGCAACAAGCATCGTACTATAGAACTATCATATTAGATGTCTATCAAAGGCACTCAAACTTTGTTGCCAATTGATTCCTTTTATTTGCTGATAAAATCTGTCCATGAATGCACTCACGAACTTTTTCCATGTCATCGATGCTGCCTCCTTAGGTCTCCCAGACACTGTGGTCTTATAC